CCCTGTTTCGAGGCTATGTCGCTTGTCGGGATTTTACTTTTTCTTAGACCGCTGTTTCAAAGTGAAATATACGTCTAAGCCTGGAAGTGTTTATGATTTCTTAGAGAGGCAAGACCGTAAAATTTTCAGAAAAGTTTCTAATGCTAAAGGACATCCACTTTCATCTATAATGCCTCGTGTTAAACCGTCCAGTTACAATCTTAGGAAAGAAGCTTGTTTTAAACCTAAAATTAACACCATGCGTTTTAAAAACTCTTTCATTAACCGTTTAGTTTTACTAGATTTTTAATTCTTATTTTTTACCTTTTCAAAATTTCTTACACTTACTTGTAACAAAAGATATGTATTATCTTTTGATGAATAAAGACTTTATTATTATTATTATTACTCTAACAGGACTTCATTTTACACCCCCATGTGCATGTGTATCGCCAAATTGTTCATTATTGGATAACCGATTCATGTTAATTGCTCAAAGAAAATTCATCTACCCCTGAAATGATATCGGCTTAGTCAATAGTGCGCGCTGCTGTACGCCTCAACATGATGTCTATGCACTAATCTGAAGCAGAAAGGAACTCGAACTTATCTAATTTGTCAATTCGACAGGTAGAGTCGTAAGATAAACAGCTTGCAGATGTTACCTTAACCTAAGTGAACTCACGAAACTATTTTGAGACAAAATAAACATTGCTCAACATGCATTCAGACATGCCTGACATGCACTGAAACCGTTTTTTAACTGAATCGGATCTGCTTTCGAAGCAACGCCCTACACGTGTTAAAACAATTCCGGAATTCCTACCTATAAAACATTTTCCGTTTTGAGCAGCAAAGAAAGATTTCCTTCTAACTAAAGTCCATGGATTTTAAAGGTAAACGATCCTGACTGGTCATACCAAGGATGAAGTGAAATGAAGCACCAAAACCTTACCCCCGCGGGGGGGGTGGGTACTGCTATGTGTGGGCTATATAGGTATGTGCCGCTGTGAAGGGTATGGTTTTCAAGCAGTTTACTCTAGAATAGGATATATAAATCAGGGCGTTTGGGTCTAGAATAGGGTATCATTTTCAGGAAACTGATCAGTTGATTGAAGATTATATCTAGACTAGGGATTGTGGTATAAGGTTTTGTTTTGACTAGACTGTGCTAGCGATCCGCGACCTCAGTAGTTTCTGGAAAAAAGCTACTCTAGGATAGGGGAGATTTGGGGAGTTTACTCGATTATAGGGTAGCAAAATTCAGCTGAACTAGCTCTGGTATAGGTTGAGGGTTCCAGGGTCCTAGCGGCACATCCCCACCGAGAAATTCCTAAAGTACCCCCCCCGGAGAACCTTACGTTGAGAAGCAAGAGGAGTGGATGTCTTCCCACAGTTCTTTTGCTCTCTTGCGGATTAATCACAACATGGCGGAGGGTTAACCTTACGTGTGGCAGATTTTACTGTGTTTTTCTCGAGATAAGAGCACAGCAAAAAAGAAATGACCTTATTTAAACATCAGCCCGGTTGTTCTAAAGTCGATTAGCACTAACACGGGGTTATATTTTAATCCCGGTTTCGTTTTCTTTTCTTCAAAAGCATTTTCTCGGATAGTTTTATCTAATCTTTTTAGCGCATCCAATCATCAAATCGTAGACAAAAAGAATTAAACTGAATTTTCTCTTTTAGCTTTCAGATCTAAATTCAAATTTCGTACTAATCCTGGGTTATCTTAATCCAGCTTTGAACTACACAGCTTATTGGACTGAGAGCAATGCGCAGTGTACGCGGTAACGACCCCGGGGGGTACTCCCTTATAAGGGCTTAATGGAGACTTGCGGCCAGCCAGGGTATGTTTTTCGGGATTTTTGTCTTAAACAGGGTATCGAATTTATCATTTTTTGTGGTAATCAGGGTATCGATTTATCAATTTTTGTCTTAAACAGGATAAATGTCTTAAACAGGGTATCAAAAATCGCAATTCTGTCTTAAACAGGGTGGGAAAATCAGCGATATTTGTCTTAAACAGGGTCAGGGTATGAGGGGCCGCGCCGCACCTCCCCACCCAGGGATATATCGAGTACCCCCCGGGGTAACGACACAAGGTATAACATGGTCAAGGATGCCTTGGAGAGCATCGGGAACTAACTCCAGTAATTCATCTTTCTCAGAATTATTTCACTGAGTCTCCAAAATGTTGAACAAACGCAACAGAAGAAGTCAGACGGCAAACAATATACGCTTTGCCTTCGTTCTATGAACCCTCATGAAATCTCCTCCCAAACTAGTGACTCAGGGATAATCCAAGCCGAAGCTAGGGCCGAGGAGGTTCCCACCCCACCCTCCCCACCCCCTGCTAAAAAGCCTGATGATCTGGATATTGCAGGAGGAGCTCTTGAACTTCTCATAATTTAAAAATGTTTAAGATTAAGACAGGCAGTTTTGAATTAACGCTTGTGTATGTATTCACCGACTTATTTACTTAACCGTTAGTCCTTTCGTAAAAAAATAAAGGAATTATTACTAAATTTCTTGCGGTCAGAAGATGATTATGACGAAGTCTCCGGTCTTATTAAGTTATTTAATACTTTAGGTTAGCCTCTCTTCGTAATCGTTACGTACTTGTCTTGTTTTATGTAAGTTTATTCTATTTACTGTATAGTAGTGTCTTCACCATAATTTAGTCCATCTATATGTAAATCTTGTACTTGTAATATGTCTTCAGCTCCCCCCGCCTCGATTAGTTTATAAGCTATTTGCGGGTCGGAAAGTAATGTAATTAGTTATTTTTCCAATTTTCAATAAAATTTGTTGTTGTTGTTGTTGTTGTTGTTTGTTGTGCCTGTTTCAAAACTTCTATCTTCAGGGTCTGTATGTAGAAAAGTAAGATCTGATGACAGGAGATTGAAAAGGATGAAGATAATGACAAAATAAAAACATTACAAAACATTCCAAACTAAATGTCTGGAAGGGTTCGCCCTTTGTGCTAAGCTTTAGAGGAGTCGGCAATTTCAACCTCGACAATATTTTTTAAGTACACATGAATATATTTACAACCGCCATTTAATTCATGCAAAGATCTCTCATAAATTTTCCGGATCAATTCCTAAAATTCAACGCTAAAAAATACAATGACAGCAATATAAACGGCTTTGAAGCGGAGGCGGAAAAGGCTTACAACACAGATATTCCAATATAAATCGAAGTTATGTCAATCCTAGCTTTGGGCGTACTTAAAATTTGTATTGGATTTCTAACCCCTATGCAGCGTAACTCCCTTTCTGCTCAAGAACCATGCAAAGCGGCTCTTACAAACAATAGTCAAACTTACGCCTTGTCTGGCTCTTTTTATTGTCATGTGCGCGATCTCGCTAATCCGTCTCCTCGCCCCCAATGAAGTTGTTGTTTTGCAAATTTTCTCCCTTAAATTGGGTTTTCTACTCGTGTTATGCTTGGTTTATTTGTTTATGATTCTTTCAGTTATTACAGGTGCTATTATAAACTAGCCGGCACAGCTAAGCGCATTTGCACGATAAACAAAACAAAGATCATTTTTAAAGGTTAAAAGTGTAAGCCGAAAAGCAAACACTTACGGCTGTTCCAGGGGCCAGAATTACCTTGAATGACACCACAGTTAAATAACTGGGAAATAAGAGCAGAGATTCCTTTTCCCCGTTCCCAGCGATTCCATTCCCCTTCTCTTGTTCATCCGGGCAATCCCAAAGCCCGGGAGCAGGGTTTATAACTCACTTTAAAAATGACAGAGGTGTTTGTCATACTTTTTGACGGATAACACGTCTGGATTGGTACCGTGCTAAAATCTAAAATGACCGCGTTGGAGTTGTTGCGGTACCTTGGAATCACTCGACTAAGGCTATGTATACAATAAAAGTGAAAGCTTATCATATGGACATGAAAACTACTCCGGCCTGGTCTGAAAACCTGTTTACCCCCCCCCGGAGGGTACTCGACAAATATTTGGGTATAGGCGAGCCGCTGAGGGTTTGAAACCATGACCCTGTTAAGGACAAATAAAATCCTAAAATACATACCCTGTTTAGCACAACACCCTCAATTTTTTTTACCCTGTTTAGGGCAAAGGAAAAAATGCATGCCGTCTTGTTTTCACGTTATAGTCACTGCTTTTGTATACTTGGATTACAAAGAAAATTCATTTAGCAAATCAAATCAATCGTGCAAGCTGACAGACTCACATGAAATTACATACCCTGTTTACGACAGACTAACACGAAATCATATACCCAGTTGAGGACAGAGAAGTCAAAAACCATACCCTATCCATTGGCACACACACGTATAGGCCATATAGGGGAGTAGCCCCCTCCCCCCTTCCCAGGCTGTTTACACTACTACGAAGAGTGGCAAAGAAACCTATCCGATCTGTGCACGATCTACTTTCAAAATCGGCACGGCGCAGCTTCGCTCCGAAATCACCGTTTCATGACCGATATGGTTTTCGTGCTGACGAAAGAGCAATCGGGTATAATGTAGACAGAGCCTCAATGGTTATAACCGCTGTTGAAAATTGTCAGTGCCGTTCAATTTGTTATTGTAGAATTGGTACGTCTTAGGGATGAAAATGAATATAGTAAAAGAGGAAAAGAGGCCTACAACAGACGAAAAAGGAGGCAAGGAGTTCTCTATTGGGAAAATGTATTCGGATGAGGGAAGTCCAAGATGATGATAACACGGGGATGCAAAGTGCCTGTGATGATGTTGACGATGATATTAAATTATTCTTTGGGTGGTTCCACTGTGCGTAGACAAAGAGAATTGCCTAGGACTGTTCCTTACAAGAAAACCTACACATCTTCATTGTCACCACAACCGAAAAGCATTAAGAGAAAGGTCATTCGTTTAATGGCGAAAATTAATTTCTTTACAACAAGAAACGGCCGCGATGAGCGATCAGTCTGGTTAAAAATAATAAGTCTGTACCAATAGCTATGCACCAATTATTGAACACACCGCGACACAAACGATGAGGATTGTAAGACGAGTTAGAAGAGTTCATCCAAACCCGGCATTGTTGACACATCACCTGCGGCAGACAGTGTAGGCTTGCCAGAGAAGACGCGTTTGGCCACCTACAAAAGAGGTAGCCACAGAAGTTACTCACTTTGGATATGGGATGGGGCGGAAGGACGGGCAGTAGCGTGCAGGGCGGATAAAGGTTGGGCGATGAAACCACGAGCACTCCGCTCTTCAAGCGAGGTGTGGTGCGGGGTAGGATTGGTACGAGCGCTCTTTCTGCGCCTCTGTTGTGTTTGAAGCCAGCTAAATGTAAGTATTCCGCCACACTTTTCAAACAGCTTGGGCTCTGGCAAAACGCGAAACATTTTCACGGTTTTTTTGTTAGTTTGAGTGTCAATTCGCAAAAAGTTCAATTCCAAAAGGTTAAGAATGTTTTTCGTCATTTTCTTCTATTATTTAAGACATTTTACAACTCCTCCCCCCCATTTTGATCTGTAGCTCATAATTGGATCCTAGAACACTGCATCAACCCTTTTTGCTCAGACGCGCTCGTTTCATAGCCCAACCGTTGTCCGCCCTGGTCTGAGCGTGGCCAAGTAGTTAGGGCAAAACCCCCACAAAAAAAAATGCAACAGCTCAAAAATATATCCAAACCCTTTAACTCCCAAGAGTGAAGAATATCAGTTAAGAGAGAGCGTTAGGAGAACTTACAAAGTAATCACCCACAAGATAAATGAATTGACCTTTGAACAAATTCTCTCAACTAATTCATTGAAGAAATGTATGGAGAGCAGTTTAGAGAATTTCTACACAGATATTCGGGCTTGGGGCTTAACGGGTTTATCCAACACAGATGTCCCCTAACGAGAAGACTGAAACCCCAAAATTGATAGCGAAGCATGTGTTCGAATACTTTACAATAAGAAACGAGAAGGAAGACAAAAAATAGATCAAAATATGTCATTGTGTCTGTGGGTATGTAACTATCGCTATTTGTAATAAATGTAACTTGCATGATTTTATGTATTTGCATAAACACCAAGTGATATTTCAAAATTGTTATAACATTTCACGAACCGTTAAGCGAGTGAAATTTGAAACATCACGAGTGTTATTTTGCCAAAATTACAAATTTGCTATTATTTGTTTATACTACTACCCGCAAGAGGTTTGTAATTTTCACATGTAGGTATTTCAAATTAAGCTGAAATACCACTGCTCTAAGCCAATCAAATTGCAGAAATTTCTCATGTAGTAGTATAAACAGCTTAACATAGAAGATTGTGATGTTAAATTATTTGGAAGACAGTCGACGTAACAGCTTGCATAAGACCCCAAATAAAATAATGTGTCTTGTCTTGCCACTGGCTTAGGCAGAGTGGAAATTCTTCAGGACCGTCAGTTCAAAAAGTTGGTCATCAGGCTTGATTATCTACTAAGATAACCTACTTGGGGTGTATGACGCTTGAATTTAAACATATGTCAAAACTACATCTAGAGTTATGAAAAAGTTGAATTTTCCTGGTCTCTTATCTGCCATTTTGAAAAGCCATCTTAAAAACCTGCGCCAGAACAAAAGGCTACAGCAAAGGGGGTTAGAGCCAGCGGTGTCCTTACCGTCAAAATGTCACTCTTTGTAATGGAATCGACTGCAGCGGCAACTGCTTCAGCTGACGTGTAACTTCCTTTCGCTAGTATCTAAAAGCAATAGACAGACATAACGCACAGCTTGTTAATCCGCCGCCATTTTAACGTACAAACTATTAAACTGTTTTAAACATATAACAAATAATATTCCTAAGAATGTTAAAAAATCATCATCATCATCATCATCATCAGGGATTTGAAGCACCGTCGACGACGGTAGCGAAAACGTCTTTAAAAGAGTGAATTCACGCCGTTTCATTCAAAATTTACCGCTCTTATTCCGTGTCGTTCAAGTTGTGAAACGTAGGTGAATTTTTTTGGAATTTTTGGAATTTGATTCTCAAGAACTGTATCTAAGTTTAAAAAACGAATTAGAAAATCGATCTCTTGAGTTCACGTCTCAAAGCAAAATAAGAGAAGACGCCTTAGAATTTATTCTCTTATTTGGTATGTAAATAAAAGAACTCACCTGAGAGCCAATATCTTCAAATAATGTATCTTGGCTTTCACTGTTCATAAGCAAATGCGCCTTCATCTGATTCCTAAAGTACAAAACTTGCGATATTTATTTATTTCATGATTCATCGAGGACCAAAAAACAAAACGATTCATTTATTAGTATCTCCGGAATTAGTGACTACGTGTATCAATAGCTCTGCGTCAATTAAAAACGAAAAACACCAAACATTAAGTCCATCAACGGTAAAAATTGCGTTTGGAATTGCAGATAGGCCTAAGAAAAAACAAAAGACTTGAAGCGGCCGAGTACACCTCCGAATATTACAACATCGCTAATTTTAAAGTAAATCCAGTTAAGCGAACGCTTCGAGCGAAAACTTTATTGATTTCTAAAACCATTCAAATGTAACCTCCCGAGTTTTATTATAGAGTTCTACCGGTGATATCTTACAACATAATTGGCATTTATATAAAATTACCGTGTTGTTCTAATTTTTGGGTTTTTCGGAAAAAAAAAAGTTCCCCCCCCCAAAATGTGGAGCAAGGTACATCGGAAACAATGTGGGTGCGACTACTATTCTTCCTTGAAGATATCACTTTGAGTAACTAAGACTCGGCACTCACTTAGCTCGTGTTACGTCTTTATCAGAGATATCTCCTTTAGAAGCCTTGGAGAACTGGCCAATAACTGATTTCATAACCTGCAGAAACATTGTAAGTCAACTGGACATAAGTGATTGTCACAGTGCAGTGGAACCAAAAGGTCAAAATATTACAAAGTTGCTGCGACAAGTAGCAAACAATCATGAGGTCACGATACTGTTATTGTAGTCCCTTCGTGGGCAAGGTTTCTGCGATATCTTTGTTTATAACTTATTTGAACCCACTGGGGGTGGCTCCTATGTGAAGGAGGAGGAGATGTTTATAAGGGAAGAGGAATTAAACTCCTACAGGAGAAAAATCTGCGTGTGGTTCAGGATTTATTTGACTGCTAAAAGGTACCACTCTAAAACAGAAAGCCAAATTACAAAAAAACTCTCTCCTTTACGCATTTTCTTCGTCTTTTTTCATTATTCTTTTAAACACAGCCCTAAGAGATATACCCATGTGCTTTAAAACATCAGCGTTCCGTCTTGGAAATTTGAAGCGAAACCAAAAATCTACGATTTACACTCCTAAACAAGACGACAAGCATGTCCGCCCTTGTCATATGCCTGCCCCTGCTCCCCTTCCCAAGGGAGTACGTTATTTCTGGACTTCCCAATGGCTACTCCTTTGCCAGATCCTTCACAAAGAAACTAGCTGGTTTGTAAATAAATAGAAATACGACAGTATTAAGACCACACAATTATGATGATGATTATTATTATCATTATTACCCGTGGCGCAATTGCAGCCTCCGCAATAACATAACATCCAAAGAGACCACCATCCGAGTAGCTGGCATTAAAAGCAGAGGCCTGATACAGTAAAAATGGATACAATTAGGTTATCCTTACACAAAGTTGCCTCACATTTCCCTCCTAATTATAAGCTCAAAACAGTGAACTTGTGATGCTCCTGAGTGTCTGTGGATAAAACTCTGAAAGTTGGTGTCCATAAAATTTGCTTAGGTTTAAAAAGTGAACTAAAAATAAATTTTAAAAAAGAAACCTGCAAACGTTATTGACACTAGGTCATCATCAAGTTAAGAAAATACCTCCGCAAATTGCATATTTCATACCCTTACGTAATTTCCGACGGCAAAAGTTTCGCAACGTAGGAGTTTATTTGGCTTTTCAAGGTAGGATGGGCTACATGAAATCTGTGAGCAACCTTTGATACATTGTGATCCTAATCAAAACAACTATCAGAAACAAGCTCTTCACCGAAATTGTATAACTTACTCCACAAACGCCACTGGCAGCCTCTGTTGCAGCCTTCATGAGTCTAGAAATTAAAATGGCATGTTTGAATAGGCCTAGACACGTCTATCTGAGTGGGGAGCTCACGCGAGAAGGCACGCAAATCCCTCTCCTGGGATAAAACGCGTCTCCGCATGAATTTCGCACCTGCTTGCATGAAATTAGAAACCCCTCTAGAACTGCGCCACTAGACCGTATTTGAAGATTTGCGTCCAGTTGTGGCCGTATGCGCCAATATTTTTTAGGCTCACTTAACATACAGCATGGATTGAATGCTATAACCTCTTCGATGTTTCCCTCAGTTGCGCAAGAGACCATTCACGTTGCCTACCGCGAGGAGATGCGCACCGCACGATTTTTTTAACTCGCTCGGACGAAAACACATACGACTATAATTAACAAAGGTCATTCGACCCTTCGTGTGCGGTAGTCTGCCATGCACACAAAAATTTGGCTTATAATTTTGAGAAAAAATAACACCTGATCAGAGGTACTTTTTACCTGTTTGTTGCCACGTTGCTTCCCCATTTGATGTAAGGTGTAACGCCCAGGAGTTTCTGTATCAAATGACAAAAACAATCATTGAAACCAAGAGTATCTTTTTCACAACACAAATATACTTAACTATAAGACAGGAATTTCAAAAACAACAACCTGACGATCGCAAATATTATTTATCAGTGGAACCTCACGCTTAACATGGGCCACTTCAGGTCGGTTGTGGGGGGGGAGGGGAGGTGGGGCTTGATATCATTTCTGAGGGAAAGGGAAAATGCTTACTAAAAGAACCCAAATGGTCAGAACGAAATATACATCAACAAAACATTGGGAGCTTTGGGCGATTTTCGTATGACCTTGAAATGAAAACGCGCGAACAAAACAGAAACAACAAACGAACGGAAATAAAGCGATTTGATTGGTTCATCGAATGGATACAAACGCGCGTGGCTTCACGCCCGAGAACTAGAAATCAATCGATACTTCGCCCTGACGTTATAATGCAACATGATTGGCCAATCGAACAATGCCTTCTCCATATTAGGGTTTTCTTTGGCGGGAAAACGAAGAGTCCACGTTTTGATCTTTTCATCCATTGGCTGATACAACAAATAACGAACACTTACCGAAACCATTTTTCAAGGTTTTACGAAAATCGCTCTATCAGTTGGTACATAGTTCGCTATTAATGGCCATTAAAGGGAGATGACTTTCGCAGGTAGGACGCACTTAGCGGCCATTGCCGTTACGGGTGCTTTGCGGTTGGAAGTGATCACTTTTTCGTAATTTATAGCACGATTGTTTGGAGGGAGACCTCACCTGATACACTGAAAATGCAAGCAGATCTTTACTTCCAAAGCTGAAAACATAAAGTTTCAATATAAGTTCATTTAGATAGGGCACAGTCCACCTGAAAGAACATTGATTTACAGTAACTATTTTTACAAGCTGAGATTTTTAGCGAAAAATAAGCAAGCATTATCTTTTATTGCCATAAACTAGCGAGCAACTACACTGCTTCTGTAAATTTACACCAGCTTTAATAATCTATACAAAGTATTACTACAAAAAATAATAAGGGATAAGGCATCCAGTGTTCGGTCGTTTCGCTACAAGTCGTTTCGCCGCGAAGTTGTAAAGTCGTTTCGATGCACCACAGAGTTGAAAACTGCTCCAAAGTTTGCTGGTGTTCATTTCATTTTCGATGATTAACTCAGTGAAATGGTAATAAACTCGTTAGGATTATCCGTTTGTAGTTAATATTAAGTGTCTTCTAAACGGTTTTTTTGGCAACTAATATAATTTGCAGTCTGTCTACTTTGAATTTATACAGAAAGTCAATTTCAGCGCCATCCGGACATGATGCATCGAATCGATTTGTAGCGAAACGACTGGTAAGCAGGTATGCTTTGGGCACTTGGAGGTGTTGCACTGACTAGAGTCGACTGGAAAAATATGAAAATTGGCTGCTCAGCAGTCAGATGAAGCTACAGTAGCAGTGTGTGCATGTTATAACAATACCCACTAACCTGGGTCCTTCTGTTGCAAGAATGGCATGAACAAGTGGACCAGGCCTGAATGTCAACACTTCTCCTGTTAATACAGGACATTATTAAAAACTGAATCATTGGATAATGCAATTCTAGAGCTCTGATTGGCTTAGCCATCATGGTATATGAGCCATTATACCATACTCCCCAATATGGTAACTGCACGCATCTGCTCAAAATTAAAAACAAGCTGAAAAACGGTTGTTTTTGCAAACAAAGTCGGGAAGAATTATCGATATTTTGTGAGAGTTTTTAATAAAACAATTATTCCACAAGTGCGCGTTGGATATGAGATGATTATAGCCATATCATTATCCTTATCTACCATCTCATATCCAATGCGCACTCATTATTAAATATTAAATAAAGTACCAGACAACACTAGCCATCCCAATTTAACAATCACTTTGTTGTCACATTCTTCACCCAAATAATTATAGATATTGTGGTTCAAATTTTAAACTTGGTTTAAAATTATTTCAGCCCTTTGTTTTTAACTTATTATCATAACCATACCCCAAAACAAAGGGAAATAGAATTTAAACCAAGGATAAAATTGAACCACAACTAAACACCATTTTCAAGGTATTACTATCCTTGCCCCAGAGGTCTATTCTCGAAATATCTAGCATAAATTATCTGTACTTATCGTTTGATTCTTCGGTTCGTGAATGCTGCACCTTGCTGTTGCAGCTTTGCCACAAGCCATCAGGAACAAGAAAAAAAATCTCTGGCACCCAGGGTATAATAACCACCCTCAATCTCGAAAAAACTACTTGAATAAAATAGCTGGCTTAAGTACAATAACACGTTATTCAATGTATTTGCCTAGAAATATTTACAGAACTTGCTTTTCACTCTCATCTTCGTGAAATCAATTGATTCTTGGAAGGGCTCCTGTAAGAGCGATTGATCAGGGGAGCAAGGATCTCTAATTTTCTTGGTTAGTCTGTACAACTAACTTCTAACTTCTAACTTCTCTCAACAGTTTTGTCCAAAACTGAAGTTCATGTGAAAAAACGTTCCAGCCTATGCATGGCTGTTTAGTGCGTTTACACTGGGTTAAAAAAACCTATAGGCATGATATAATAATATTATCAGTACACAGTTTTTGTTTTATAAAACAATGACTAAATGCATTGCCTACCTCCATGGTATTTTGTAGCTTCTTTAGGTGCAGCTTCACCTTCTGGAAGGAAAGACAATGCTCCTTTTGCCAGGTCTACCAGCTCATTATGATCAACACCTGTTCAGAGATAATTATAAGAAATTTCAAAGCATGTTTAGTCACACCTTTTTGACCTGTACAGTGTATAAAATGAAAACCTATGGGACCCTCCCTAGGGACACCCTAATACAGTCAAAACTTGTCTATAACAGCCATGTTTATAGCAGTCAACCTGTAAATTGCAGTTACTGAACCTCCCCCAAAATCTTGCCCTATACTAACTGTTATAAAATAACTAAGATAGTATGCGCGTTCTGATTGGTTTAAAACCTATGGTTTATTGTGCGGGTAAACCCACAGAAAACTGAAACATGCTTTAAAGGTATTTTATAAAAGCAATAGACCACACTTTCTATGGGTTTATCGGTGTGATAGCTCAATTGGGATGTTGGGAGAACACTCGAAAACCTGGTAAATCACTCACCTTTGGCTCGTGTTCTACCATCATCCCATGTGGGTTATCACGCCGGTAAACCAATAAAAAGTGTGGTCTATTGCTTAATTGACTCGTATATAGCAGACACCTGTATAAAACGGATGTGGTCACCCTTTAGACTTCTCAAAGACACAATTTCATTTGTTTGACCTCTATACAATGATCACCAAATACCATTAGTGAATCATAACAAGTTTTATTCAAAAGCTCATTATTATTGCACGGCTGTGCTCTAACAGAGCCCAGTGGCCCCTGGCGCCTTCCTTCTGCTCTCAGGTGAATAGAAAATCTTAGTTTTTTCATACAAAACATATGCTGGGCACCATACATTTTATAGGATCAGAGCACTGGGCTCCTTACAATTTTCCTTAGAGCACAGCCTTGTATTGTAGCTACCAGGGCAGGGATCTCACTCAAATACAGATAGACAAATGAATAACAAGACATGGAACAAGCCACAGGCTGAGGAGTGGCACTGAGGAGCAGCTGAAAGAGTTTGCTCATCACTATGGACACGAATAACTGTCTTCTTTCTTTTTTTTCTTTGACATCCTAAATGGAATCAAGCTTTGTGCTTTGAAAATCACAGAAAACCATAACAGATTTCCTTCATCTTGAAATCCACATTGTTACTGTAAAAGTGCCTATGGTAAAACCTTTCCTACAAGGAGACTTAGCAGAACTCAAGTATAATACACCTCCTTAAAATTTAGGGGCTATTTTCAGAATTTGTTTTTTCAATATTATTTGAATTTAGTCATGACTGCTTGTTTTGTCCTCAATTTCAAGCTTGGACATTCTAAAATGTTCAGTTAAAATTGACTAAGAAAAATGAAACCTGAATTAATCCAAATTTAACCCTAGGTTAGTGATAATGTAATAGGGAGCTTAAGCAACAACAAGAGCGACTGCTACAAAAACATCACTTAAAAAGTGCACTCACGCTGCCTCAAACTTTATCGCACTTATTCCATCTTGCTTAATTCATCAAATGTTGGCAAATTTGAGTTGAATTCTAAAGGACTGTATAAAAGTTCGGGAAAAGAAATAGGAAGTTTTTGTCTTGTGTTCCCATCCTCGACAAAACATGAAATTACAGGCACTTTCATGTTGTAGATGTGCAAAGACAGCGAGGAAATGCACAAAAAAGCGTGATGCATGATGTTTTGCTACTATAAACCTATTGCTTCTTCAGTGGCCATTCTCATTGCTGTAGCCGTTGTTGTTACTTAAGCTCCCTAATGGCCTTTGAATGACTGGGACCCAGAAATATAGTTCCTGCATGTCTTATAAGTATTTGCTACAAAATAAAAAACAAACAAACAGTCCTGCAACTTCCTTTCAATACCCACCTACTCCGACCAAAGCCATGCGCTGTCCTACATAAATCTCACTGGTATAGCTTTTCAACTATCAAAAAAAAAAACAATGCAAAAATTTAGAGTAAAATTTCAGTTGCCAGAGAGTAAATACAGGAAAAAAGGCGTACTGACCACCTATAAATAATACATACAAGAAACGACATTTGATAAAACCAGTTTCTCAGCTGGAAAAACCAAAACAGAGGGAGAGGTAGATTTACCAGCTAATTTAATGTTCTATTCTTACCACATCAGAAGTGAATTTGCCTGCTCTGTGTGGTAAACAATACAGTGAATTTCCCAAGGTCTTCCTGAAATTTAGACCAAACAAAACTTCATGAGAAGAAACACTTGTAGTAAACTCATAAGCCTATTCAATGATGACTTCTAATGTTAAATACGTATGTTACGGGACAAATTTGACTTCAGGTTGAAAATTTTTAACGTAGGTTGATTCTCAATTTCCTTTGTTTTCTAGGACTAGCAGACATTGGAAAATGAGAATCAACCTAGGTTAAATCAAACATTAACTAGTAACATATACACAGGGCTGTCATTAAGGTTTTTAGTAACTGGCCTTCTTAGGGAAAGTAGCTGTCTTAGTGTTATGTTTGATTTATTTTTAGCTCATGGATGTACACTGTAGTCATTCCATAGCACTCGATCATTCGTTCACTCACTTGACTCTCATTAATTTATTCATTAAATTTGGATTAAACATAATTTTACTCCTACCTCCCCTAATAAGTAATGGTTTTGTTCCAAGCATATTATGCGCATATGTTTGACAGATTCTAGCGAGTACTAGAAAGGCATATATTTTTGCCTGATAACATGGAGTAGATGACTTTTTTTTGTGGCAAGCTGAAGATGGGTTGTCATATAATGGACAGTTAAAAAGGCCAAGAACACTGACAACACCAATTCTGATGCATGTATATGTTGAAAAATTTGGGGTGCATCTTATAACCAAGTGTGACTTATAACCGAAAAAATACGGTAGTTAATTTTTTATCTCAAGGAACAGTTGCTCGAAAGATGGTCAAGTTTAACCCAGGATTAAGCGAAATTTTAGTCAAAGGTTTTCTTGCCTAACAACATGCAACTCAAGCTTACAAAATACTGTTGAGCCTTAATTCACTCCAAGATGCGGTAATTATAACACAAAATGTTACTCTCAGCAATACATAGGAAGCCGGTTAATACAAAAACGAAACAAAATTTTAATCCTGGATTCGGCCTTTCAGGAACCAGGCCCAGGTTTTTTTGTTTTTCTTTTGTTTTTGGGTATGGTAATGTTGCTAATGAAGTTGAAACAAAGAAAAATAAAAATTACCTGAGATAAAAAATTAATTACAACATATAATTTTATGTGAAAAATGGACACTGAATTGTTAAAACAACATGAGATAATAAAATTGAGCAAGGGTCATTGTTATTGATTTATTGTGTGCCAGTTTTTTATGTACATTCCTTCCCAATAACATGGAGAAGATGTGATCAATAATTGAGTTAATTGAGTCAATTATTGAGTGTGAAAGAGCTATCGCATAATAGCCGCCTGACAATGGGATTTCATTCAGTGAAAAGCTAATAATATGACAAACCCTAGCTGCGATTAAATGGACCTCAAATTATTAAAGCGACAGTAACGGATCCACTAATTAACTATTAGTTGTATCTCAAACGGATTACATCACAACTGTCAAAACAAAACAAAATTCTCAAAAGAAGAATGAAAGCCCCATTCAGCTCTAACAACAAACAGAGTTCTTTTAATAATAATAATAATAATATAATATACAGTATTTATAGAGCGCTAATTCCCAATGGTCCAAAAGCGCTTTACATAATAAAAATAACAACAAAATCCTAAACCTACAAAACTACATTGTCATTCTATAAAAATTCCCAATGGTCCAAAAGCGCTTTACATAATAAAAATAACAACAAAATCCCACTAAAATACTAAAAAACTACATTGTCAGTCTTCTTGACGGTCTTAAGGCTTCAACTTAAAAATTAAGTGCCTATGTCTCCGGCTACAAAGAATGAACCAGAATTTTCAACTTAAAATGATATTTTATTTTACTGTATCACAAGTTTCCAGTATTACTTCGATTATTGAACTGTCTTATCTACACTTATCCAATTCATCCACGAGCTGGCTCACAGGAGCCTTTAACGAATGATCAGACTAAGGGTAACCGGCTGAATTAAGTGCCATGGCCCGTTTCTAATGACAGCCCCTATATATACACACACACAAACAAGCAAAACTTCACTAATTCTAACAAACCTGAAAGCAATTCTGTGAAGTTCCTCCACAACATCTGCACCAAGAATAATGAATACAAAAATAAGTAAGAAAATTTCTTATAATGAGCTCTTTTGCTATTTATAACCAAAAGACACAAACTTTATTTTATAACTATGTCCAAGCAAGTGACGCATTGAAAACTAGCATTCACTGTTGTACTTAACAAAGGAAAATAAGTGTAGTTCACTTGATTTTAGGCAGTTTGAGCAAAAATTCTCTGTCTAGACTTTGACACAGCAATTAAGTGATAAACATACTTATTTCTGCTTGTGTGTCCTTTACTGCAAGATCTAATTTCAAACGCTTGACTGCTTCATCAAGCTGAAAAAAACAAGATCAATAAAATGTAAAAACAAAACTTTTGGACAAGCCAATCCTGCATATAAAAAAAATGACTACCACCTAGCTTGTGGAAATGTTAGTCACTGTCAACAACACTCCTATCCCCCAGACTTTCATAACTCCACCTACTTATGAACTGTTTAAAATCTTTATTTTAGATGTTTGTACATCCCATTTGCTGCTCTTGAATAGATTTTGTACATAGCCTTATTCTTTAACCTAACTTGTAGTAATAAATCATAGTTTGGTACACTCTTTGGTATGCCCTTTCATATAGGAGTCCTCCTTCAGTGTTATGACATTGTACAAAGTAGATTGAAATCAATAACCATTCTCACCTCCCATGGGTAGAAAACTGGATCGTTTACAGCTCCAGCAAGATTATCAACAACAGACTCCCTGAAAAACGAATTAATGTAATCCCATGAAATGCAAGATATCAACTTTCTTTTAAAATAGTCATATGGAAAATGTGTTAAGTGTTTGCTCCACTTGTCAATTAGGCTTCGTACTCCTTTGAGCTCTTCAAATTTCATGACTTTCCATGACCTTTCCCATGACCTTTTGACGTTTTCCAAGACCTTAAGTTTAGCTGTCAGTCTCAAAAATTTTAAAAACATTTCTTGTTTTAGGGTATTTTTGTACCTTTAACAGTTTAACAGATACAAGCACTGGTGTCAACCAAAATGCATGCCATTTGCACAGTTTAATTACTCTTCTCTATCTTACATTGTCCTTGCCTTGTTATCTGCAGTAACTAATCTATCAAACATAACTTAAATTTTCCATGACTTTTAAGGACCGACAATTTAATTCCAGGACACTTTCCAGGCCTGGAAAATTAAATTCTTAAATTCCATGACTTTCCAGGTTTTCCACAACCTATACGAATCCTGTCAATTTCAACTGACAGGTCATGTACCATAATAATATTGAACAGTTGATTTTTCAGTCAGTGACACAGGCTAATTGGAATGAAAAATCTGAGTGCTCCCAATAGACGTCAAATCTGTGACATTCTGGTTAATAGTCCAAGCCGCAGTTGTTCAAAAGGTGGATAGCGCTATCCACTGGACAAAAACCCAATTGGTTTTCGTACTAATTATCTAGGCCCGGTTCTGCAAAAGATGGTTAAGTTTAACCCAGGATTAAGCTAAATAAATATTTACTTTTAAACAGAGTTAACAACAAGGAGTGTGAGCGTGGTCAGCGGTCAGTAGTTTGGCTCAAGCGCGGTCAGCCTTGCTTGCATCACCTCCATGTGCTCAGTACTTTCTCTTCGTTTAGCCTTTGGATCATTCTTTTACCCCCATCCCTCCCCCCTAATTCTTCCACTGTTAAATCAGTGTGACAGGTGCTTGGTTCCATCGGCGTGGGGGCTCATGGCTGGAGGGCACGGGTTTGCCAGCCTTGGGGGCGTAACTCTGTCTAGGGGCTGGACGTGCCAAAGGTGGAAGCCCCTGGACATCCCGGGCACCCACCTACCAGGGTTGTCACTAAGATTTCAAGTTGCCGGGTAAACACAACAAGTAGGCGGGTAATCAAACGGCTAGGGATTTCTTGTGGTTCTATTTTTCTTCTATTTTCACATAAAAGTAGCAGGGGGCCACTCTCTTAGTAGCCGGGGAAAATCCCCGGCCCCCGGCTCTTAATGACAACCCTGCACCTCCACTCAGTGACGCAGTTGTTAAACAAGGTTTTCTTGTCTAAGAACATGCAACTCGAGCTAAAAAAAGGTCGTTGAACCTTTACTCCGAGATACAGAAATGATAACACAAAGTGTTCTCTAAGCAATACATAGAAAGGAAAAACAATAAAATGGAACAAAATCTTAATCCTCGATTAGCGCTAATTGGCTTTTCAGAAACCGGGCCCTGGTGGATAGTGATTTATCCAGTAGATAGCGCTATCCAACTTTTGAACAACCAGGGCCAGATGCTCCTGCAATAATTACCAAATCAAATCTTATATGTTGAGCACATAAAGAGTGTGTTAGAAAGTTGAACATTTAGGTAAACAAAACTCACAAATTCTTGCGAAGACAGTCTGAGGAGTAAATGAGGTGCTCCCTGTTGCATGTTGCCCTGTTGAAGTAATAAAAAAAATAAATAATAGTTACAAACTTTTTACATGTATCTAATTACCATAACTTGCACTTGACAAAACAAGTTAGCGTTTCTTACTCAAGACTAGCTCCATTGTGTTCCAGCTCCCTTGCGATTCTAAATCCTGACCGCTGTTCATTTCCCTAGGGATATTAATATCATAAATTCATCATTTCAGTTAAAAGTATAATGTATGTGAGTACTGTTGGACCTCACATAAGTGACTGAATATGGTGGTTACTTTAATAAAGGAGGCAGTCTCTTGCAAGAGGAATTAACTGTAATACTTTGACTGGGAAACAGATCTAGGTACAGTGGAACATCAATTAACAAAGGGTTTGGGGAATGGCAAAATTTGTCTGCTATAACAAGGTTTTGTTAATATATCAAGGTTCTTTTCCACACTAATACTACGGTAAAGAAAATCATTTGTTATACCAAGGACTTTAAAGTACGGAGGTTTGGTATATCGAAGTTCCAATGTATTTTCGATAGGCAGTCACTCATGAGAAGTGGTTGCAGGTGGAGGTTTGACAGTATTTTGTACTGACAATAAAACAATTATTACATTGTATCCATTGTTATTAAATTTTATGACCATTGTTATGTTATCTCTGCGTTGTAGTTGTTGTTACTGTATCTTAATCAGTAATGCCACCTGTTTATGGGAGATGGAAATACTGAAATTAACTTTTTGTTTTACTGACATCAGTTTCTTGTTGAAGGACACTCTACGTCAGATTAAGACTCCCACGTAATATTATAAAGTCAGGTAAGAAATTCCACAAAACCCAGCAAATTTCATGCACATGGACCTTCATTTTTCTTTAAACAGAACAGTACATTTTCAACTTGTGAAATCCACATCCACCTACCAAGAATGCAGCATTGCGTAACAAATGAGTAATCCCCAATGTGCTTGAGCTCTCATGGCGACTGGCAGCATTGATAAATAGCCCTACTCTACTCTTTGGTGAATATGTTTCCAAAGAAACAACCTTGAGACCATTTTCTAAAGTGGAAACCTGTCAGAAAGACATATTAAAGGAAACCATTTTATTATTTTATTTTCAGGTGCAAATCAAAAAGATAAACATCACTGCAGCTTTTGGCCAAAGTAGAACCAGATTCTAGGAAGGGCCTGAAATCAAAGATATCCATTCAACAACAATTACAGTAGGTAATTATCAGAGTTTGGTTAAGTTTAATAATTACTTATGTAGGGTGCAAAGAAAGTCAGTTTTACAGCCTGCCATTTGGGCAAGCTGTAGGTACATGTAGCATGTACTAGCCCACAAGTCATTTCAACTAGCCCCAAAACCCTTTTTGATTAGCAGGATTGATTATAATCCTTCCATGATTTGCCCTGTCGAGCAAGTTGAGGACAAAAATCACTAGCCCAATAGCAAAATCCACTAGCCCTGGGCTATCGGACACCGCTTTCTTTGCACACTGATTCTGGATAAACCATTGCAGTGAGTAAAAATAATCGTGACTTTTGAATTTTGATTATTCCAACCAAAAGCTGTCTTACATTCTTCTGTAAATAGATTATTTTAATCTATTCATTTTCCAGCCTGCATTACAAAGCTGGCAGTTTTGCTGGAAGTGAAGCTTGAGCCCTTCCCTAACAAAACCACCAGCTACACAGGCTACCCTGTTTTTAATCAAATGTAAGTAGAACCCAAGCTTCATTTAAGATTTAATGTAATCAGGCTTTTGTGTACTTTATGTTTACTAAGGGGATCTGGATGGAAGTAAACTGTGCATGGCATTGTGGTGGTTTTTGATGCATGTGGACATCACCCTAGTCAAGATGTTTTATAATTATAGGCAAGATACTAGGATAGCCAGACTAGAAAGAGACAAAGGCCTAAACTTCTGTGGTATTAATTTATTTACATGTAATGCTATAAAACCTAAAAGTTGAGTGGGTGGCAAATTAATATTCTACTGTGTGAAGGCTCCTTTAAATGCAGACTGATCTGTGGAAATGTGGTTATAGGCCCAAGACCAAACTAGGGTCAGACAAATACTTGTAAAGGTGAGTACTGCATTTCTACATCAGCCATGAAACCAGCTTATTATTCTCAAAATTATGCTCAGCTGAAGAACTATACTGCTAATTACATGCACAGTACGCTGGACTAAACCGACATTTCCCCCCCTCCCATTCCAAAAAAAGAAACATTCCAAAACAGTCCTTGATTTTCAGGGCTGTCATTAACGTTTTTAATAGCCGGTCTCTTCACCCACAAATTCTCCTTGTAATATTTGACTTATTATTTAGAAACTTTAGGTAGCCAGTTGATTTTACTGCAGTATCCCGCTAAACAAGCCAGCTATCAGCTACTTATGACAGCCACGGATAATAAACATGTTAGTGCCTTGGAAGCGAGTGACAAAGTGAGATATAGTACAGGCTGTGGGAATTGCAGCATTACACGAGTGTTTCTTGCATGTAAATCCACCATATTACTCACAAATTACATGAGAAATACACGTGCAAAACATGCCTGTAAAAAAATACTTGACAAAATACACATAAGCTTATGTGAAATTTTATATCTTTAAAAGCATACCACATTCAACCTCAGCCTGTGCTGTCAAGGAATTAGCAACATTGTTCGTCAATAGTTAACCTTTAAAAACATGTATCTACAGTTTGGTTAAACTAAAATGCTTTGCAATGAATATCCGGTAAAAAGTTGGTTTTTTTTTTAATTTCATCAGGTAAAAAGTTGCCGTTGTCAGCCGAATAATGGTCTTGCAATGACTTAATAAAAGAAAACACACAGAAAACTGCTGACTACAGTGTATGAAGTGGACTGCAACTTTTCTGTTTTAACTTACAAAAAGATTCTTTCATAGATTAATAAAGCTGGTTTGAATGTGAAAAACATGATTCAAAATAATTTGCATTTTGAATCAAGACCTATTAGTTACTATTGAAATTTAAATGCGAAGAGACTGTGATCAATTAGCATCATACAATTTCTTTTAGATCTGCCCTTAAAAAAATACACATAGCTTGCTTGAGGAAATTTCTCTGCGATTAACACATGCATCTTACACGTAATTTAAGCTGCATGTAATTGTTTGTGTAAAATTTTACATGCATATTTTTTGCTAGTATCCACCATATTGCATGTAATATACACATGTGTACAAGTAAATGCTGCAATTCCCGTGGCCTGTACTAAAATCAGACCTTCACTATGCTTAAATGCACTGGACCCAGCCAGATGAAATTTAAAAGGGAAAAAAGTGCATTTCAGGTTAAATACGTACATTACCAGTACATTCCTACATTATGCATTTGGTTCAACTCATGAGAAGTTTGGTGTCTGAATAACCACCAGTCCACAGCCAGTATTCCCAGCTGAGACAGGGCGTGAAGAATGGCTTAGCCAATCCAAATTCAGTTAGCAGTTTCACATTGAATCAGAAGCTGTACTTCACATAAACTTAATTCATTGAGTATGATTTGGCTCATGTGAAGTACAGAGTCTGAACAGGTCATTTCAGAGCGAGTAGCTGCATCTGTACCCCTTTAGCGTTTGTTTTCCGAAAGGTTAAATGTGTTTACGCTTTGCTCTTTCTTTTTTCCTGACAAAATAAAGACTCTTACTACCTAGTCAATCGTTCTGGGGCTGGGGAGTGGGGGCTTAAATATGATACAATTGACGGAGAGTGTTTTGACAAACCTGGACGGTCTGAGGAGAAAGATCCTGGTCCGCACTTCCCGTTTGTAAATCCGATAAAGGCTCGTTCAAAGGAGAAGCTGCATATGCATATAGTCTCTTCTACAGTAAATAAAACCGTGAAAGTAAATCCATGATGAAAAAAACACCACTAGAAATCGAATATAAGCTTACATAAGTTAGTTGTATAAATATTACACTAGTAAACACGAACACTACACTCAGTTTACAATCAGTTAAATGTGAGAAGTGAGGAATAGATCAAAGTGTAATAGCATCTTCTAACCAAGGGTGACGCTCTACAGCTCACAGTTCTCGAAACGTTTGGTACACTCTTCCATAAAGGCAGCATTTTCACCGCTCTATCCTCTCTCGCTGTTTCTTTCCAGAGAACCGGTGTATAGAATTAAGACCATAATACTTTTTAACAAGAACCCGCTGATCAAAAGTAATGGCACATCAGGTCATTGCAACCACCCGATTCACACGGAGGGTACTGGGTATCACCCGTAAAAATGATGCCCAAATTACCGGGTATCACCCATCAAATTACGTACTATAGTACGACTAAGTCAACGACTAATATGGATGGTGCAATATGATGGATAAACGTGCATGTAATTCACCTTTATCCCTCATATTACACAATCCGACACAGCACATTGAGGTTAGATTACGTTTAACGTGCAAAGCAGTATTTAATGGGCCGGTAAGTTGTTTAAAAGCCTTTATTTTGTTTTCATAATATTTTATTCCTTTACGTTTTTCGCCTCGTAGTCGTTTTGCCTTGCAGTCAGCCCATACCCGGCCACTTATTTATAATAAGTTTGTTCTGTTGTTGACCAGTTCATTTGGTTGCAGGAAGAAGCGCTTTAAGGCTGAAATTCAAGTTCGCTATCACGATCAGGACACTGCAGTGAGAAGGAGCGAAAAGCTTATTACCGGTAATGGGCTGTATTAATGTGACTAATGTTGATAAGCAAGATGGTCACGACGATTTCAACGTGGATGTAGGTGATTTGTGCTGAGGATTTCGATGTCAGCGATAAGCCAGCAATATCTTCATCTGTAAGCTTAAATACTCGTCATTATGAAAGATTGCAAAGAGCAGAAGATACATGGGCTAAGTTACGGCAAGCTGCTCTTTCGACCGGGCGTCTGGAAAAGCGGGAAACCGGAATCCGGAATAGGAACGGGAATAGGAACAGGAACAGGAACCGGAACCGGAATGGGAAGAGAAACCTATATAAAAGCAGGGACAACATTTACCTTAATTTAAGTTACTCTGGATTTAATTCCTATTCAGATTATATACAAAAAATAAGGGAAAAAATGGAATATGACCCGGAATAGGAAGGGGAATATTAACAGTGTATAGAAATATGAAAAGAAAAAGATATAATCGTGATATAAATAAAAAGCCAGAGAAATAATTAAAGAAACAAGAAAACACCCTTGAAATGTTAATCTAATTAACCTTTTTTTATCTTTAGCCTATGACACATTGTGTTTTCATGTCAAGCATAATAGCGAACCTAAGCAACGAGAACGCTGACCGTCGCTTGATGGAACGCTTCTGTCTCACACAACGAATCTGAATTCTTCCTCTTACCTTCCACTGTGCGAATTTGTTGAGTAAGCATCGAAAGAGAGAAGACATCCACTTCCAGTTTCCATTTTTAATGTCCTGGACGTCAACGTTCTGGTTGCTTATTAAGGTCCCTATTGCACTCGGTTGAGGTAGATGAAGTGCAGGCTGGGATGGGGATGGGGGGGGGGAGGGGGAGGAGGTACGTGTTAATACCCTTTTTAAGCTGTGGACTATCTATATCTGGCTAACTTCCCAATTTAGCACAGTACAATATATCTATGCAGCAAACCCGAGGTGTATGGCAGCCCAATAAACGTCTCCGATGGGTGTCTCGTTTACACATGGTCTGACAAATAATATTAACATGTTATAAACTCCTTCCCGTGAGAGACAAAAGGAACCTTAAGATCTGACAAAGGCAACGCCAGCGAAAACGCCACTGAGAAATTGAATTCGGGTCTTAATTCAAACTATTTCTCATTAATTCCAAATTGTCCAGTCTTTTAGAGGGTTGGAAATTAAGCTGGAAACCGCGTCCGAGCTCAGAAAGACACAATAAAATTTATCCCCTGCCGTTCACGTTCTCAAGAGAACTTAAGATTTGATCATTTACGTCGTAGTTGTGCATAGGCGGTGAAGAAATTGACAGAAAGCGCGAGGCACTCGCAAAGCTGTTGCTTCCGGCTTTTTCTACCTTCTCGTTGCCGTAATAAAAAGAGATTCGGGGGGGGAAGCATGATACCAGACTAGTTTTCTTATTTTTTTTGTATAAATTAAATTAGAATTAAAATAATTTAAATTAAATGATGTCCCTGTTCTTGTATCGGTTCGCCTTCACATTACGGTTCCTGTTCCGTTGGTGTTTCCGGTTCCGGTTCCGGTTCCGGTTCCTGTTCCCATTCCCGTTCCTATTCCGGATTCCGGTTTCCTGCTTTTCCAGACGCCCCTTTCGACCACTTTCTAGAAGGAAGGTTCGTTTGTGAACAGCACGTTACTGAGGTGTCACTTCTGTGACTCGGAAAGTGGCATTTGTCATTCCTTGGACTGTAGTGCAACAGCAAAGTTTTGTGAATTTTGTGCTACATCAATGCACACCGAAGTAAATATTCTCCATAGTGTGGAAATTCTTAAGGTACGTAAGTTGGTCTGAAGGTTTCCACAACAGAGTAGATTCGTAGCTGCCAGACTCTTAATTACCTGCTTCACCCGGCTGCTTTAAATCTTTGTACTTGTAAAGCTGATGTTTATAAGCTTAAAATAGCCCCAGATTTTATTTGTCATTTTTCATCTTTGAACTATGTTGCTTGTCAGTTATTACAATGTCTTTTAACTGGAGTATTTACCAAATGTTAATATCTGCAGTAGCAGGCCAGGTTTTGCTTTTAGATCCTTAAATTATGTGCATTAGAAGCTCATGGTTTCCTTGGTTGTTATTTTTTTTTAGTATTAATGAAGTTATATCGTGCTTACATTGTAAATTACAATGACTTTTGACCACCTTGCCAGATCAGAGATTAGTTTCTCTGAGAGCAAAACAAACAAACGTTAAGCTCGGCAAGATAGGATCGGAGAAAACTAATATCATTCATGTGTATCACTTAAATTAAGGATCATGCAGGGGAGTTTTAAATCAAATCACTTTGGTTTATTAATCTATTTAAACACTAAAACAAAATGACCTGTTAGTCAATTAATTAATGTTTGAATTTTTATTCTTGGTTTAATACATAAAGTGCCATATACTATCATGACTTATTGTTATTCTAGGAGGAGAATATAATTATATATTTCCCTTTGATCTTAGCAAGAACCCTGGTGCTGAACGGACATCAGTGCCCATCTGTTCATTTTCGTAATGTTTCTACCGTAGATTCTCGAGGTAAGGAAAAAAGTCTTTTTATGTGTCAACCCCATGCATGATCTAGTAAAGCAGATCAGATGTAGCTCTAAAGCTGTTTTTTGTGTTTGTTCAATATATATGTATGCGACTTTGCTTGTAATTAGTTAAACATGTAATGGAAAAATGTACAGTATAACACTAAGCAGTATGCAATTTTATATTAACAAAAATGTCAGACATGATGTACATCCCTAATATTAATGTACAAAAAGACGGAATAGACGTACTGAACCATAGAAGAAAACTGTAATTTTATTGTGACCAACAGTCAACCAACAGGCAACCTGACAGTGGGCCAACTGTTTATCAACTGTCGATCAACAATTGGTCGACAGATCTAGATACAATGCATACCATGGGTATGAATTGTCATGAAAGTACTTATATATATATATTAGCCTGTTGTTTGGCTACTTGGTTTTTATTGTTTTCTCTGATTTAATCTGGTGCCTATGGTGTATTAATTATCTTTGACATGTATGCAAGTGTTTATATATGTGCACTGATCTGACTGCAATTGTTGTTTAACAATTACTCATATAGCATGAACATCAGTTAATATCCCTTTTGTTTTTTCTTTCTTACAGGATTTCAAGTGGTTGTTGCTGCTCAGTTTGTAGTTGTGAACCTGATTTTTTACGTCTACTTAGGTTCAATTTTTGGGTGCCACACCAACAAAGCCAGAGTTGGCTTCACAATGGATTTGATGAAGTTGCTGCTCACCCTTAATCTTGAATGCCAAGTGGCTGTAAAAGAATTTTGTTCTGCGATTCAGACCCTTGTTAATGATATTATATCCTTTCCGGTATTAAGATAGTTTAAAAATTATGAAATTCTTTTCTCCTTTGCTTTTAAAAACTGTCATATTGTCCATATATGCTGTGTCAGTCAGTTTACTTTACTTTCTTTTAGCTAGTTAACGAATAATATTTAGCCATAAGGTTTTTTTATGTACTACTTTAGAACCAGAGGAAATTATATCCAGTTATTATTGACAGTCTCGAAGAGTTCAGGTTAGTAATAAGACTTATTTAATATAATATTATAGTAATAGACTAGTTGTTTCCGTATATATTATTCAGTGAAGTGGAGGTGGCTTGTGGATATTTAGCGAGCTGCATTTGAAGTGCTAGGTTAGGTGAATAGTATTGTTTTACTATGTACACACTGTGCTAAAACAATTACATGATATATAATTGAGCTCACGAATGAAACAGAATTTAATTGCCATCTTTGTGAACATCCAGATCACAGCTTCTTCATTATAAATATGGTAGCAGAATAACTGGTGTGAATAAGCACTGGGTGGTTTGAGTAGCCAAACAAAGAGCAAAAAGCACCAATTATATCCATTTGTTAAGTGTATAATGATACTTACTGTCAGTAGTTGATATTTTTATGTCACAGCTGGTCTCTCCTATATAAAGATGAAGCGAAGCTCCTAGCTAATCATAGTGCTCTATTTTCAATAATCATCAATGTAGTTATGCTAATGGTATGTATTATGATATCAGTGGTTGACATTACCTTATTGTCGATTGGTGGTTGGATAGTTATCGCTGTAGATGGTCAGTGATTCGTCAAACCTGATCATGGTATTGATGCTACATGTGTATGAGAGGTGTGGCTGCACTGAGAATAACCAATGGGATGTGAACTTTTATTACAACATTCCTTTTGTAGACATCTTTTAAGGGAGTTATTACATGTAACACTCTTTCCCATGTGGTGACCTGTACATTGTACTACTGCATAGACAATATTTAACTCTGATGGTTCACTAACCATTAGGTTACTTCTCAGCATTTTGTATTGCATTGTCATTTTGAATCAGGCTGGAACGCGTTTTATTTGAATTGGAGAACACAGATGGTGTAAGTCAGCGCTGTACCACTTCTTGTGTGGAGTATACAACGGTATGAGATGCTGCTTGTGACGGAAGCAAAAAGGTGGCATTGGTCGATCTGCATACTAAAGTTATTGAGCGGTGGTTCTTGTTGAGTTTGATATCATTTGATATATGATAAAAAGTGTAATCATAACTATAACAAAGTTCTCAAATCTGACTGGCTATCAACTGTCCTGATTTCAGCCTTAATAGGACAGTACGCACCATCACGCGCGCGCTTAAATGTTTTTTTTTTTCATTGCTAGCCGAAAAAAGATTGGAATTTCTTGTGTTTGGATTTAAAAAAAGAGCCTTATATATCACAAGTTTTGTTAAAGTTATGATTAATTTTTAACAGAACTTCCTGTGGTCCAATTTGGTCTGTAATCATGCTCATGATTAAACAAATCAAACTCCCGCAACTCGGTTCTCCGATTTTGTTAAGCACTCGTATGATTACAGACCGAATTGGACTCCACTCAGTCGTGTTACCATTACTAATTGTTGCGGTTATGATTCCAAGCTGCTAGAACGCATTCTTGAGAAACAAGGATATGTTCCGTTTTCATGAAACGTTTGATTTTAGTGACCCATTAAAAGCAGTGTCTTTATGATTTCTTTAAACCTGCCATCACGGCGCTATCAACGTAGTACAGTTTTGCTTTGTCGAAAATATAGGCCAGGGCATAAAATAACTTGCTAGTCCTGATGCTTTTGGGCTCGAGGACTAGACAAGTGTCAGGAATTTCCCGTCTTAACATTACGGGGTTTTGTCTTTTCACTTACTGTTTGATTTTCTCTTTTTCTTGGTTTTTTCTTGAACTGTCCTCTGTCCTTATCACTTAGATGGCCATGACCTTTCCAAACGGCTTTCCAAGCAGATTTGTCCAGCAACAAAGAGCATGCGAACCGCTCTAGATAAATTCAACAACCTAGAATGCAGTAATGCTTGCCCATTCCCACGCTCCTTGGAGTTCGATCAAGTGAAGAACCCGGAAGCAGACGTTGGGTTACGATCGGAGTTTGTTGGTTCTGACTCGCCAGTACCCATAACCGTTAGACGTAGAGCAATCGATCTGTACCATCTGCTGGATAGAGCTAAAGAAGAGGTGACCTTACTTCAGGAAGAGATGAGAAACGTAGTTGAACACTTCAGCGGGCAGCACGCGACGTTTTCCAGTTCGTTAAAAGATGCCACGATATCTCCTTTGTCCTTAGAGGAGTTAGGGAAAAATATATTTCCGAAAATGAAACTGGTGTCTTTGGAGGGGCAGCTTTTAGAGGTGAAAAGAGTTTTCCAAGGTCACATCGGAGAAGTCTCTCTCCCGAACTTAATTTTTGATCGAAACAGTATTCCGTTACAGGACGATGAAAACGAGGCTGACGAAGTGTCTGAGTTGTTGCTAACCCTCCCGGAAACAGAGGAGGATGAAGTGGACAGTGAAAAAGAATGCGAGAGCGATTATGACGATACCGACAGCACTTTTTTTAGTTCTTCGGGAATATTGCTTTAAACTAGAAAAGCGTTAACTATTCCACTATATTTCGGGCTCCTCTGGACCTCCGCAATCCTAATGACCACGTTGCTAGTCTGCATGAATTATAGGGCGAAGTACGCATTTGGGGCTCTCAATGCTCCCATTTTCTAGTAAATGAAAATCGTCAAGCACCTGAATCAATTGTTGTGAAATCGTTGTTTTCCTACTAGTTCTCATCGACTATCGTGCCAAGAACGCTTTTCTCGCTATTTCATCCAATTTTCTAATGAATGGGAAAATCCTGCTCCTTAATATCGTGCTTTTAAATTAGTGTGTGGGGTAAACATGCGTAATTTTTCCTGGTTAGCTGGAAATAAGTGTGTGTGTTTCAACAGCTACAGTAGACACAGACACATAAAAACCAAGTGGATTCAGGGGCACTAAAAGGAGCACGGAAAATACTTTTTAGGCTATCCCAAGTACTTTTTAGATGTCTTGAAATGCCTTGCATTCTAAGCGGCCCCTATATAATTTGTATCTATTCGGAGCTCCTAGAAGAAATTGAGTCTTTTCGAAATTACGAGGGTTTTAGTATTATTTTCCGAAAGAGATATTTTACAGAAAACAGTCGTTGGGTGCCGCTGTTTGTGGATTGAGAATCTCCTGTTATAAATTTGCAACTGTCATGCCAAAAATACAAGAACCTTTTTGGCCAAGTTACTTGTAGGTTAAGAAGGTTGTTAAGTGTGTGTTGGAGTTTAATTATCCTAAACGTTTTAACCAATGAGTTTGGATTTGAGAGTGCATATTTATATTACATGAAAATAAGGTCACGGTAACAAACTGTATTAAGTAATAACAGTATCAATGTAAAAAAGGTTTATAAAAAGACAAAATAAGTACATGCTGTAATTTTGTCTTCATAAACGGGCATCGTATAAAGGAGATTGCAATGAATATTTGTCGATAAATATTGTCTATGTTGAAGTTACTTTTTTATCTCAGTTATTTTTTTGGTATGGTAATGTATGCTAATGAAGTTGAAAAATGAAAATTATCCGAGATAAAAAAAATTAACTTTAATACGTATATATGTCAGGACAAGACTCACGTTTGTTAATTTTTTCTATTAGTCAACAACTATATCTCTTTTATAGAAATTGAGAATTTAACTGAAGAGAAGTACCTCTAAAATACAAGAACCTAACTTTGATCTCCTAAACTAAGGATCCCCTCGAAAATAACGGCTATGCGAAAGTAACGTCAATTTGCTACCTTCCGAGTAACCCCGAAAGTAGCTACTTGTAAGGCCCCAAGTAGCAGCCCTTTAAAAATTACCCCTCAATTACAACTTCAATAAAGTTGTTTATTGAATTTATTTCTTTCTTGATTTAAGCAACTGAAACGGGAAAATATCATTCTTTTGAAAAAATTGGAAGTTTTCCATCAAATCGGTCGTTATTAACTAGTTATCGCATTTTGTGACCTATGAGGATAAGTCATGACTTTGAATGACTTGGTAAAAAAATGAGTGGTTACAGCATTTTTTTACCGGATAACCGAGAAAATATACAAAAATTACCTTTTTGTCGGGATTTAGTTGTGTGTACATCGTTTCTTTTATTGAATGTTGAACCAGTGCGCTCTTTTGATTTTTCAGGTTATTTTCCGATACACGGCAAAAAGGCTAGCACTTCCACGGTTGCCGTAACATCGGGCTGTTTCCGCCAACAATGCATTTAGGGCACTTCGATCCCATTTTGCATTTAAATCAGGTTGTTTCCTTCATTTTGCATTATGGCACTTTAATGCTTTGTCGTAAAATCTGGCCGTTCCCTCTAGTTTCCATGAAAGGTTTGCTCAACAGTGCATTTTAGGCACTTAGATGCTTTGCCACGAAAGGTTTGATCAAAGGTGCATTTTTGGGTCCCCTTACGTTTGCATGAACGACAGGGTCAACAGCGCATTTTGGGGCACTTGGATGCTTTGCCGTAAAATCGGGCCGTTTCCTGTAGTTTCCATGAAAGATAGGGCCAGCAGTGTACTTTTGGGTACTTAGATGATTTGCCGTAAAATGGGGCCGTTCCTTTCAGTTTCCATGAAAGACAGGGTCAACAGTGCATTTTTGGGCACTTAGATGCTTTGCCGTAAAATCGGGCCATTCCCTCTAGTTTCCATTAACGATAAGGCCGGCAGTGTAATTTTGGGTACTTAGATGATTTGCCGTAAAATGGGGCCGTTCCTTCCAGTCTCCATGAAAGACAGGGTCAACAGTGCATTTTGGGTACTCAGATGCCCTGCGGTAAAATCGGGCGGTTCCTCCAGTTTCCATGAAAGACAAGGTCAACAGTGCATTTTGGGTACTTAAGATGCCCTGCCGTAAAATCGGGCCGTTCCTCCAGTTTTCATGAACGATAGGGCCAGCAGTGTAATTTTGGGTACTTAGATGCCCCGCCGTAAAATCGGGCCGTTCCTCCAGTTTCCATGAAAGACAGGGTCAACAGTGCATTTTGGGTACTTAGATGCCCCCGCCGTAAAATCGGGCCGTTCCTCCAGTTTGCATAAAAAGACAGGGTCAACAGTGCATTTTGTGTACTTGGATGCCCTCCCGTAAAATCGGGCCGTTCCTCCACTTTGCATGAAAGATAGGGTCAGCAGTGCAATTTTGGGTACTTAGATGCTTTGCCGTAAAATCTTGTCGTTCCCTCTAGTTTCCATGAAAGGTTGGATCAAAGGTGCATTTTTGGGTTCCTTACGCTTGCATGAACGACAGGGTCAACAGCACCTTTTTGGGCACTTAGATGATTTGCCGTAAAATGGGGCCGTTCCTTCCAGTCTCCATGAAAGACAGGGTCAACAGTGCATTTTTGGGTACTCAGATGCCCTGCGGTAAAATCGGGCGGTTCCCTCCAGTTTTCATGAAAGACAAGGTCAACAGTGCATTTTTGGGTACTTAAGATACCCTGCCGTAAAATCGGGCCGTTCCCTCCAGTTTGCATAAAAGACAGGGTCAACAGTGCATTTTTGTGTACTTGGATGCCCTCCCGTAAAATCGGGCCGTTCCCTCCACTTTGCATGAAAGATAGGGTCAGCAGTGCAATTTTGGGTACTTAGATGCTTTGCCGTAAAATCTTGTCGTTCCCTCTAGTTTCCATGAAAGGTTGGATCAAAGGTGCATTTTTGGGTTCCCTTACGCTTGCATGAACGACAGGGTCAACAGCACCTTTTTGGGCACTTAGATGATTTGCCGTAAAATGGGGCCGTTCCTTCCAGTCTCCATGAAAGACAGGGTCAACAGTGCATTTTTGGGTACTCAGATGCCCTGCGGTAAAATCGGGCGGTTCCCTCCAGTTTTCATGAAAGACAAGGTCAACAGTGCATTTTTGGGTACTTAAGATACCCTGCCGTAAAATCGGGCCGTTCCCTCCAGTTTCCATGAACGATAGGGCCAGCAGTGTAATTTTGGGTACTTAAGATGATTTTGCCGTAAAATCGGGTCGTTCCTCCAGTTTCCATGAAAGACAGGGTCAACAGTGCATTTTGGGTACTTAGATGCCCTGCCGTAAAATCGTGCCATTCCTCCAGTTTGCATAAAAGACAGGGTCAACAGTGCATATTTGGGTACTTAGATGCCCTCCCGTAAAATCGGGCCGTTCCCTCCACTTTGCATGAAAGATAGGATCAGCAGTGCAATTTTGGGTATTTAGATGCTTTGCCGTAAAATCTGGCCGTTTCCTCTAGTTTCCATGAAAGGTTTGCTCAACAGTGCATTATAGACACTTAGATGCTTTGCCGTAAAATCTTGTCGTTCCCTCTAGTTTCCATGAAAGGTTGGAACAAAGGTGCATTTTTGGGTTCCCTTACGCTTACATGAACGACAGGGTCAACAGCACCTTTTTAGGCACTTAGATGCTTTGCCGTAAAATCGGGCCGTTGCCTGTAGTTTCCATGAAAGATAGGGCCAGCAGTGTACTTTTGGATACTTAAATGATTTGCCGTAAAATGGGGCCGTTCCTTTCAGTTTCCATGAAAGACAGGGTCAACAGTGCATTTTTGGGCACTTAGATGCTTTACTGTAAAATCTGGCCGTTCACTCTAGTTTGCATAAAAGACAGGGTCAACAGTCCATTTTTGGGTACTTAGATGCCCTGCCGTAAAATCGGGCCGTTCCCTCCACTTTGCATGATACATAGGGTCAGCAGTGCAATTTTGGGTACTTAGATGCTTTGCCGTAAAATCGGGCCGTTCCTTCCAGTCTCCATGAAAGATAGGTTCAACAGTGCAATTTTGGGTACTATAGATGCTTTACCGTTAAATCGTGCCGTTCCCTCCAGTTTGCATGAAAGATTGGGTCAGCAGTGCATTTTTTGGTACAGTCGAACCTGTATTTAACGGCCATGTAAGCGTCCACCCTCTAGTAAGCCGCCAGTTTTCAAAGTCCTGCTTTTTCGCTCATACAAACCCTGTATTTGTTACCTGCATTATGCGGCCACCCTGTAGTCTGTGTAGTAGTCCTATGTTTGTCTTTCTTTGTTATTTTTAGTTGTATTTGGCGGCCACTAAGCGATATGTCATTCTATGCATTATTTCATGGTGTTTAAAATGCGATCCATCATGACTATAGAAAACTAACCTGTACAATCCCGGGGTACAAAGGTACTCTAAGCTGATACTCGGGCGTTTAGTATCATTAACGCTTTTCAGATGTCCTCAGATTTATTGCATAGTACTTTTACATAATGTTACGTATTTTATACCGTTAAGGTACCAGTTGGCACCGAACTTTGTTTCAAGTATTGATCGCTTGAAAGAGTTTTGATTGTCGTATTGTTTCCTTGGCATTAAAACACGCCCGGTGAGTTTTCTTTTATCCTGTATTAAGTGGCCAGTTCCTCAAGTCCCGAAGGTGACAGTTACACACTGGTTATATACAGGTTCGACTGTATTTGGATCCTATTTACTAGTCTATGGCAGTTAGTCTGGCGCTTCGATGACCTGGCGAACAAACAGGCTGTTCCTTTCATTTTGCATAAAAT